GTTTGTTCAACGTTCACCATTTTTGTATCTCTCGTGCTTGCATTATAACTAATTGTAACTTTAATTCATTTTCTTTTTGATATATTGGTGTATGTGTATAGGTGTGTGTGTGTGCGTATATATGCTAGTATGCGAAAAGTATATTCTATGGAACACATAAATGAAAGTTAAACGAGATATTTGCCGTTAACGACCGACATTAAGAATGAAATGTTGATATTATCAATCAAACGAGTATGGGAGAAAAAATAAAATTAAAAGGATAGATAGATAGATAGTTTTGCGATCATTAACGATCCAGGTTATTACGAAGGAAAATATATAATAAATTAAACTACTCTAACTAAATCTATGTTCTATATGGATCAAAAGTTAAGAATAATTAATAGTTGGTTAGAAATAATTCAACTTTATTTCACGATTCGAAGAGAAAAATAATAGAATATTTCTTTTAAATATAATCGTGGTAAAACGATTTCGATATCATTTTGACCGGTATCCTATAAATCGGCCGATCAATGAATGTTTTCTTTATACTGTCAAGAAAAAAAAAAAAAGAAAAATGAAGAAAAAAAGGTATATGGGAGATATAATTTGAACAAATTCGAAGATTCTCAAAGGGATACACACGTATTCATTCGTGATACGCCCGCGTAATTATAACGGACCCCATACGAGAATAAGAAAGAAATAAATAAAGAAATAAATAAAGAAAGAAGAGTGGGCAGTTTGATAATGACTTTCTGAATGCAGGTCTGTGAGGACGAAATTAGGGTTATTTGCGTCTTTCTACTCGACCTGTTCCTTCTTGACTCCTCCCCCACGTGTGCATCTTATCTTCTTCTTCTTCTTCATCTTTATCTTATTCTTCTTCTTCTTATTCTTATTCTTCTTCTTTTATTCAGGCGTTAACGAACCTTCTTTATTTCTTTTCATCGTCACAAGTATACAACGAATCTTATTAACATCTTAAAACAATCCAACATGGGGATCAACAAGGTATCACTGTTTAATATTACATACTCGGTATACACAATACAGGTTATTATATTTGAAGAATTTTAACACACACACACATACTCCTAAAAATCAAATACTTTTCTATGAATATATATACTTCTCTGTATATGTATATATGTATTTATATATCCTATACTACATATATGTATATAAAACACACTCATTTAAATCGAATACTTTTGTATAAATATATACAGCTTTAGATATATACGCGTATGTGTATATATATGTTAATATACATACACTTGTTAAATCGAATACTTTTGTATGAATAAATACATACACCTTTAGGTATTTATATACGCGTATGTGTATATATATATGTAGATATACACACACTTGTTAAATCGAATACTTTTGTATGAATATATACATACACCTCTAGGTATTTATATATACGTATGTATATATATGCGTAAAAGTAAATATATATATAGAAATATATATGTATATATATCTACATAGATGATCGTAGTTGTGAGCTTTCGCAATTAAGGGTTAATTAAATTGAGCGGCTTCCTAGATTTCTGTAATCATCGCGGACAGTATCTGCGGGGTAATCTTCAGCGCATCCTGTCTGCCTTAAGGCCCCACGGAAGGAAGGGGCCCTCGAGCTAAGGTCATGCACCCCGCTGACCTCGGACCACTGTCTCTCTCTCTCTCTCTCTCTCTCTCT